GTAGAGCCCTTGTAATTCTAGTAGCGTAAATTATACGAATAGTACAGTATAGGGCCCTTGTAATTCTAGTAGCGTAAATTATACGAATAGTACAGTATAGGGCACTTGTAATTCTAGTAGCGTAAATTATACGAATAGTACAATATATTGCATTTATAATTGTAGTATCGTAATTTGAAGGAAAAAAACAGTATAGGGCATTTGTAACTAGTAGCGTGATTTAAAGTAATACTACAAAATAGGGCACTTGTACCTCTAGTTCCGTAATTTAAAGGAATAGTACATATAGGGCACTTTTAACTCTAATTGCGTAATTTAAAGGAATAATATAGTATAGGACACTTGTAACTCTAATAGCGTGAATTAAAAGAATACTACAGTATAAGGAACTTGTAACTACTAGCGTACACTGAAGGAATAATACAGTATAGGGTACTTGTAATTCTAGTAGCGTAATTTAAAGGAATATTATAGTATAGGGCATTTGTAACTAAAGAAGCGTAAATTCAGGATACAGTATAGAGCATTTGTAACTAAAGAAGCGTAATTTAAAGGAAAGAACAGTACAGGGCATTTGTAGCCTGACAGTTATAAAATGTCAGGAAAAAGCAAAGAACATGCTAATTATAATTCTAGTATCGTTATTTACAGGAATAGTAAAGAATAGGACATTAACAGCGTGATGTAAAGGCATAATACAAAATAGAACACTTTAAAATACAGAATGTCGTTATTTTAATAACAAATATGGTGGAAACATTACGAAATGTCGTTACTTTAATAACTAATATGGTGGAAACGTTACGAAATGTCGTTACTTTAATAACTGATATAGTGGAAACGTTACAGAATGTCGTTATTTTAATAACTAATATGGCGGAAACGTTACGGAATGTCGTTACTTTAATAACTAATATAGTGGAAACGTTACGGAATGTCGTTATCTTAATAACTAATATGGTGGAAATGTTAGGGAATGTCGTTACTTTAATAACTAATATAGTGGAAACGTTACGGAATGTCGTTATTTTAATAACTAATATGGCGGAAACGTTACGGAATGTCGTTACTTTAATAACTAATATGGTGGAAACGTTACAGAATGTCGTTATTTTAATAACTAATATGGTAGAAACATTACGGAAAGTCGTTATTTTAATAATTAATATGATGGAAACGTTACGGAATGTCGTTATTTTAATAACTAATATAGTGGAACCGTTACGGAATGTCGTTATTTTAATAACTAATATGGTGGAAACGTTACGGAATGTCGTTATTTTAATAAGCAATATGATGGAAACGTTACGGAATGTCGTTATTTTAATAACCAATATGATGGAAACGTTACAGAATGTCGTTATTTTAATAACTAATATGATGGAAACGTTACGGAATGTCGTTACTTTAATAACTAATATAGTGGAAACGTTACGGAATATCGTTACTTTAATAACTAGTATGGTGGAAACGTTTACTTCCGCGTGTTTCTAGTGAGTATTCAGAAAATGAGGATTTGAAGAGTATTTTATTCTGACTATATTTTAAATACTATTTTGTATATACATCCTAATTTATTCAAGTAAATATAACTAATTTATCTAAAAATTGTAACTGAAACAGCAAAAAATAAAAAGTATTGTTTCAATAAGTTTCCGTAAGAACAAATAATTATTAAGCCCATCATTAATGACGACAAAAAGCGTCTGTTGTTTTTAATCAGGGCAAAAACTCCGTCATTAAAAGGAAAAAAAAACAGATAAAAATATTTGAAACAACCTACCTAAATGTACACTCAATATGTTAAATGATGAGGAAAACAGAATTTTGAAACGCGAGCATGCTTTATGGAAATACAATTTTCAATAAACATTAACAAAAACAAAGAACATTACAAACTAAAACTGCATCTCTAATATGTTATGTGATTAATTTTTAAACAGTTTACCCTACCTATTGTTTATAAAACATTTAAATGTAGCGTATTTATCATATTAATCATTTCTCTCCTACTAAATGAAAATCATTATATTCAAGATAACAAGGAAAAAAATATGTATTTAGGTTTACACTCGCGACGGTACTGAATACCATTATCACACTTGTATAATACTTTTAATTATCACATTATCCGATTTCAAATAAATGGCATTACAGTAGTATGCTCATGACGGTTTTTTGTGTCTGTTCATTATCGGTTTGTTTGTTTTTGAATTTCGCGCAAAGCGACACGAGTGCTATCTGCGCTAGCAGTCCTTAACTTAGCAGTGTAAGACTAGAGGGAAGGCTGCTAGTTATCACCACCCACCGCCAACTCTTGGGCTACTCTTTTATCAACGAATAGTGGGATTGACCGTCACATTAGAACGCCCTCACGACTGAAAGGGTGAGCATGTTTGGTGGGACGGGGATTCGAACCCGTGACCCGCAGCTTGCGAGTCGAGCACCCTAACCACCTGACCATGCCGGGCCTGTTCATTATCTATAAGTCCAAACTGAAATTCAACAAGGGTACTCTTGTTTCATCTCCTTAGTCATTTCCAGCCATGCCGGGCGTGACTTAATAGCTAGTGTTCCAGCCTGCGAATCAATCGGTCGATGATTCGCGTCCTGTTGCTGCAAAATCGCGTGGAGCCGTGAGTGCGTTATAAGAGTTACAATCAAATCCCACGAGTTGGAGGTATGTTTGTTGATTAGGTGCCTTCGCTCTAGTCTATCAATTCTAAGTTAGGATCAGTTCGTACAGATAATACTTGTGTTGAGTAAACTGGAATGGACGACAACTGGCTGTGATAAAAAACACAAGTCCTCTACACTTGTGTTTTTTTACAACATGCAGCTCCCGTCCATTCCAGTTTACTCATCATGAATACGCTACCTAAACAATCTATCAATAAGTAATCATGTTGGTTCACATGAAAATTCTAAACAAAGAAACGAATCGTTACGCTAACAGTTTGTTTGTTTGTTTGAAGTTAAGCACAAAGGTACAAAATGGGCTATCTGTGCTCTGCCCACCACGGGTATCGAAACCCGGTTTCTAGCGTTATAAGTCCACAAACTTACCGCTGTGCCACCGTGGGCTCCGCTAACGGAGCGTTTAGTACAAACTCACCTTAACCTAGCGAAACACAATTGGTTTATATTTATAGTAAAATTTGTTTGTTTGTAGTTTTACTCTGTTTAGTTCTAGCAATAAATGCGTCTCACAATGATTACTGTTTTCCACTGTAAAAAATCGCATGGAAAACATAATAACATTTAACATAAATGTTAATCGTCTTAAATGAATTTAGTTTACAAAAAATACACCTAAAATGACAGTAACAGAAACTATAAATGGCCAACGGTAGTTTATTGGAACACGTAAGAAACTAACTGGTCCACATCATAGAAAACTTACAGGGTAGTTTGTTAGAACACGTAACAAGCATATTTGTCTAGGAACTACTAAGCTTATTTTGATTTTTACCTCCGTATTGTCTAAACATCAATGACCAAGCGTTAGCAGAGATAGAGCACAAACACAGTTTGCATTGAAGATAAACAGATAATATATATAACTGTTATATAATATATAACTGTTGATAAGAATATTCTTTTTATATTGAACTGCATTTTAAAGGGTTTGTTTTGTAATTAAGCACAAAGCTACACAATGGGCTATCTGTGCTCTGCCCACCACGGGTATCAAAACCCGGTTTCCAGCGTTGTAAGTCCGCAGACATACTGCTGTGCCACTGGGGGGCATGAGTGACTTGTTTGTTTGTAGTTAAGCACAAAGCTACACAGTGGGCTATCTGTGCTCCGCCCACCATGGGTATCGAACCCGGTTTATAGCGTTGCAAGCCCGCAAACATACCGCTGTGCCACTGGGGGGCATTTTAAAGGGTTTTGGTGTTTAAAAAATTAAAAGCTGTTTCCGTAACAAAGATAAGAATAATAGAATTTAATGAATTTTTGACGATGTGAAAAACTGTCCTTAAAGTAAATTATCAATAACAGTTTATAAGGTGAAAGGTTTTAAGAGCTAGAACTGTGTTATAATTGTTTCAAAACCCTGGAATCTTGGTGTTTAAACTTTATGTTTCTCAACTTAGTATGTGCACAGTTCAACTAAGCTAACATCAGAACCTAGATAAGTTAGAGAATGGTTTGTTTGAGCATTTAATAAACTACCTGGTCAACATTACAACCTAGAAAAGGGCAACGATAATTTTATAGAATATAAAAAAATAGCAACACAACCTAGAGAAGGTCAACGACAATTTTCCGAACCCCATCAGCCGCGTTACAGATATGAAATAGATGACGACCAAATATAAACAAGAAACTATTCACCAGACACTAAAAGATAGTTAATTAAACAGAATTATTAGACATACTTTTAACTTAGTGATGTGGTATCCATAAATTCCTATACGAACAGCTAAGAACACACCTCATCAAATTAGGCATTGAAATTTTGCCCCTGTAATTACACAAACTTGGCTTACGAAATTTCCATATTTTCCAGTCTAAAAATACAATAAAAATAATCTAGAAAGTGAGAAATATATGAATTGAGGTTGGAATATTGGAGATACAAATATGATATTTAATATAATTACTGAACATTCTTTGCAAAACACAAACATCTCTCTCTCTCTCTCTTGTAACATTTGAATTGTTGCCCTTATATGTATTGTTACTATTGAACACAAATACAATTTATTTACAAATTCAAACTTCTTTGCTCCACTTACGTGATTGCAATGTTTGTTTTTCACTATTCGTGAGCATGGGGGGAGGGGCATCAGTTTAGTTTTAATTACCAACTATTTTGAGTTACTTATCTAATCGTATAGGTACACTAAATGGAATAAGTAGAACGTGAAAGTTTAACTATTAATATTATAACTATTTTAATAACAAACTGAAGAGCTTTTGCTTGAAATTTTAAATGATCACATTCCTAAATATACTGGTACTATGTGAAGCATGGTTTAGATGGAAGTTTTAATTATTTTAATTTAATGTTTTATCTGCTACGTTTCTGATTTTAAAGTATGAACTGATACTGTTCTGAACATATATTGGTACTAAAACAGTATGTCTCAGTCGAAAATTTAACTGATACTCTTATTTGGTGTATTGGTACAAAAACAGAACATGGCTTTATATTATATCTTTACTGCTAAATGTTTCGATTCAGTGAATGAACCAACACCGTTATAAATATATATAAACAGAATACGTCTCAGTTGAATGTCTTAACGATTATTAATTTAAATATAAACTGACCTTAAACATATAACCTGCAGTAATTACAGCTGTTGATATAATTAATGATCACAAAAATGTTTTAATTAAACAATTTAACTGTTGCTTTTTTGTCGAAGTTGAAACGTGCACAGTTTCTCGAAATCTGCAGCTTCTTTTTCAAGACTTTCAACCAGAGCTCTTGTAGACCTTCTCTCCACTAAAATAATTAAAAAATAAACCCTTGAAATAGGCATATTAAAACATTACCTCAACATATACTAAAATATTGACTGTTTTGTTTCAGAACTACTAGGACTAAACGGATCTTTTTCCGCTTGAAACTTTTTTTTACAAATGTGTATAATTGGGTAATTGTTGACGTTTGCAAGTGTGTCAAGCCAACGCAATGATAGTGTTTTTATAGTGTTGAAGAACTTTCACTCATGTCTTGCTAGCATATTATATTTTATTTATCGGCAAAAACAACTACTTTTTTAGTATTTGTATTTTCAACCTGAACGGCACTTTATGCGACACATGAGTTAAACGATCTGGTCAGAAGCTCCTAGAGCTCAGACATCAATTAGAATTGCTGATCAGAAGGATGGTAACAAGTCAGCAATACTTATCGCCTATTATGCGTTTACTCGGCTTAACCGAATCTCGGTATCATCTGTCACATTTATGATGTCTTCACAGCTGAAAGTGCGTGTTCAGCGACATATCGTGGATAGAACCTTAAACCTTCCGATCGGCATGCTATCCACATATTACGCCCGGCCATTTTTCTAATTCTTATGAAATAGAATTGTTTGACTTTGTATACGAGGGTGTTATTGTAACATATTAATAGACACAATTTCAATGTAGAACTAAACTGAACTTAACGTTTCTCGAATATGTGTTCTCTTTCAGTTTGGGACCGAGAGTAGCTAATGGTTAAGGTTATCGGGATATGAATCTGAGGTTTCATGGTTCGTGACCCATTATTGTAAAAAAGAAAAGAAAAACCATTAGCGACGCACTTTGGGAACGTGGGTGCTGTACACGTATGATGGTTAAATCCTACTGGTCAATCATATAAGAGTAGACCAAGAGTTGGATGCTGATGACCTAACGCTTTCCCTCTTGCCCATCAGTTCAAAATTAGGAACGACTATGAGCAAATAGCCCTTGTGTAACTTGTGATGGTCAAATCCCACTGGTCAATCAGAAACGAGCAGCCCAAGAGTTGACGGTGGCTGCTATTGACCTAAGGCTTTCCCTCAGTTCAAAATTAGGAACGACTTTGAGAAAATAGCTCTTATGTAACTTTGCTCGACAGTCTGAAACAAACATTCATTTTTGAAATAAAATAACATAAGTATAATTTTACGTTGTAAAGTGTAAATATAAAGTACCACCTTTACTACTTTAGG